GGCAAGAAGGGGAGTCCTTGGAGCCCCCAGATTGTACATACGCTTTGGAAAACAGTCCAGAAGTTGATTATAAACTAAGACTCACTAAACACTCATCCCAACAGCTGCACTCTCTACAAGGACATTGTCTTAACACCGACAGCAGCTTTTCTCCTACATAGTCAAAACTGGAAATAGCCACCAGGCTCCTGCGTGCTGTGTGGCTGGTCTCCTGCTCTGGTCAGTGGCCCGGGTAAAGAGCCAGGTGCATCACGTGGGGGAATGTCCCTCATTGGGGGATCCTGAACCTGCTTTATGACTATGTTGCCCTTGATTTATGACTGGGTGAAGCTGAAACCCAACTTGTGTGTGCACCTCCATAGCGTGAGAGTACCACTTGGCAAGTGAAAAAGGAGTGAGTTACTGGTACATACAACACACGCATAAATCTGGAAACATTTGGCTTCAGACACCAAAGGTGTATCTCGTACACGAAGTTCTGTAAAAGACAAATCTAGGGGTGCCTGGGTGGGTGACTCAGACGGTTAATCGTGTCCCAACTTCTCAGGTCACGATCTCGCGGTTCATGGGTTCGAGCCCCGCATCGGGCTCTGTGCTGACAGCTCGGAGCCCAGAGCCTGCTTGGGATTCTGTGTCTCCCTCTTTTCTCTGTCCCTTCCCCACTTGGGTTCACTCTCTCTCAAAATAAATAAACAAACTTAAAAAAAATGTAAAAAGAGAAATCTAAATCTCATCCAGATGGCAGTAAGCAGGTAATTTGTTCCTGGGGTGGGGTAGGCTGGGAGGGGGCACAGGGGATTTGCAGGGAGAATGGAATATTCCATCACGGCAGTGTTCGCCTAGGTAAACAAACATATCAAGGCTCGCCATGCATTTACTTGTCATCGATTATTGTATAGATCAATAAAGTTGGTTTTTGACCGTTAATTGTATTTCCGTTACCTGAGGAAGGAAAAATCAGTGACGTGGTATAACTTCTAAAAAGATACCATTTGTGATAGCAACAAAAAAATAACACAGTAGCTGGGAAAAAGTGTGAAGAATGGTATCCGTGGCCTTCACGGGACAGTATCACTATGCGGTGCTGAGACGCTGAAAACCTAACTACACCATACGTCGCATAGTGATTGCGGGATTCCATGTGACACCAATCGAACCCCCAACAGAATATTCTCACCGACCTTGACAAGTTTGTAAAATGTATAGACTTCCCTGAAGGAGGAGAGCGAGGTAGGAGGGTTTGCCCTATCAGACACAAGACACCGGAAAGGTCTAGGAAGAAAGCCAGCAAGGTGCAGTCGGGGGTGGCCTGATGGGTCTCCGGAACAGACAGAGACGTCCGGAGCCGACCCGGGGGCCGAGGAAAGCGCGATGTCTGTCTGAGATCCACCACATATCCGTGGAGTTATCCAAATGGGGGGAAAAGTGTGATTGGATCATTGTACCCCACCCATAGACATAAAGCCCAGATGAACGCAATACTTCTGTGTGAAAGGGAAAACTAGGGTGTAAAAATAAAACAAGGAGAAAACTACAAATAAAAACTGGCAGAATACACCTGACTACCCACGTTCTCGATTTCCCCCGAGAGGCATCAGCCAGGCACAGAGAGTGCTCACAGGAGAGACCAGCCCCGGAAAGCAGTGTGAAGGTACACAGGGACATAGGGGTGATAGTCTCATGGGAAGCAGTTCCTGGGAGCAGAGAGGGATGCCGTGGGCTGGAGGCTGGTGCCCCCTGCTGTACATCCCTCGCTGCCGCTGAGCCTCTCTTGGCTA